GGGAATGCGTGAGGAGTTTTGGGTTTCAGGCAGCAGGGATGGCAGAGCAGATGAATCACTTGGAGAAGGTCGGGGGGGGGGGGGGGGGGGAGGATTTGCTGAGGGGGAGGTGGCATTATTCTTTGGTGCAATGAACAAGGACATCCTTTCAAGCCGGAGGCTTAGACATTCAGCGTTAGGGAGAGAGGGCGAGGAGCGGAGTGGTGCCTGCTGATAAGGTGCTAAAGGCCTGATAGAGTCAAAGGTGCTGCTCGGAGAAAAAGGTTCCGATTTCCGCCGCAGACCCTGAGCAAAGCGCTTAGAAGATAAGACATGGGAGCGTACGATGAACAAGGGTAAGGGTGTTTATCCAAGTTTTAAACTGCTCTTTTAGAGAGATTTAGGAGGCATCACTCGTGTTTTGTTATCACTTTTTGTGGGGGATATGTGCTCCTATTACAATTCCTGCATCTAATCCATACATCTATCACTGATTTTACTTTGATAGCATTTATTCCTTGTGGAAGAGGTTGTTACTTTCTAACTGTTCGTGTCTCCCCGTGTGTCAAAGGGCGGCCGTGGAGGAACCACAAGTTGGCCATATGCTGATTAAAGAGAGCACAGACAGGTCAGGCCCTGATCACCACATGTCCACCCCCATCTCCCTTCGCACACGGCCCAGCAAACATTCCCAGAAGCTGGTCCACAATGACAAGATGTTTATGGGTGAGTGGAATAGAAATCCTGAACGTCTGCCATGTCAACCTGGCTCTTGTTGTACATTTTAATGAGCATCACATTTTCTGTGTATGTTAGAAGCCAAAAAACTTATTTTCAAGTGACTGAATAACTTAAAAAACAGGGCCGACCTTTTTATTTACCGTACATTTGCACTGTCCACCTAAGGAAACAGCACCGTCGTTATTCTCCTTAGAGAGATCCAAGTAAGCCTATATTTTTCTTCAGTCTTAACCAGGCATAAGGAAAGCAACCCTTCCTCACAGACACAGGTTCACAATGTGGAAACAGGGCCATTCTCTCTATCGAGAAAACCAGAAACTGTGTGACAGCCAGCCTCTTGAGAATTCCTCAACAACTTTTCAGATTCGGAGCCTTAAATGTTTCTTTGAAAGAATGGTGTAGCCCTCATTAGATGTGTGCATCTGCTCAAATTCAGAGAAACCTAATTAAGGCTGGATAGTGCCCTCTCTGTACCAGCGTATTTAGAGACCACTGTGGTCATCTTTTACTGTAATTGGTCCATCTGTTCAGGAAAACACTCGCACCGGAGAGGGCGCTCCTTCAATAATTAATGTGGGGGCTGCTGACATAATGCCTGAGAAAGGTTGGCTTGGTTCGTGACCAAAAAAATAATAAATGAAAAAGGAAAAGCACGAATTTGAAAGCGATGCACTGAAGGCCAACTTGTGAGAGATGAAAAACTGGCAGAGGGGGTGGAGCGATTGTGGGGCTTCTCTGCCGAACACCACTTAATCTGCCCTATGGGCTTGTGAAAGGTCAACAACCTTGAAAAGATTGAAATGTTCTTTTCTTTTTCTAGTCTAAATGTGTTATGTTTTTCTCTTTAAAGTTTGCTTTAAGAAATCATTAACTCGTGGATCGCAAATGTGTAGCAACCGGGGAAGACAAAGTAACATCTTCCCTGGTTTCTACCTTTACTGAACAGAGATAAAAACAATCTAAATAAGTCCCACGGACAACATCAGTTCCAGGGAGGCTTTGGTGGCCGCCAACATGGCTGACGCAGAAAGGGAAACACACATTTACCGTTCCCTGTTTTCCTGTTTTTGGTAGTTGGCGGATGGACCCACAGTGACCCGTCCGGTCTGGTTGAACAGTTCTGCCCGGAGTACAATGAATGGAGAACAGCGGCGCGCATGCTCAACAGCCGAGGCAGCGTGGCCGTCGGCGCGCTGGGGGGCAGGCTGTACACCGTGGGGGGGGAGGACAACATCAGATGTCACAGCAGTGTGGAGAGGTGAGAGACGCTACCTGCCGCTTAAACGCTAAACCTCCTCACAAGAAGGATTTCTCTCTGCTGTTACTTAACATCAGTTATCTTTGGCCTGCAGTACGGTCGTCTCCTAAAAAAAGCAGGTTTCAAACAGGCGTGCCTGGAGGACTCCCCCAAGGTCCAACATTGCTCACTGTTCTGTGACCTCAAAGCTCCTCCTCCCTTTGATGTTGAGCGCTAACAGCAGAAAATGTGCTTAAGCAGATTTTGCTTTTGGATTTAGGCCTTAGGGGACAAGAGATGACCAACGGTTGCGGCAGAGCTCAGAGCTACTGGTTACACCCTCATTGACAAAAGCAAAGCAATGGGAATGGAAAAGTGATTTTAAATGATTACTTAATCTTAATAATTTAAGCAGGCGTCCCCTAACCTCCCTTTCCCTGGCCGCGTCCCCCTGCTCTTCCAAGGGGACAGTGATTTTATCCCAAACCGGCCAATAAACAGTATCAGACTCCTCTCCAGGGAGGTGTCCTGAAGGCATCCAAGAATTTCTCAGGATGAAAGTTTTGAGAAACGATGCTAAGATTTTCCGACAGAACAGTTTGATGAGATGGGAGTTCTAATGGAAGATCCAAGATTTCTTTAAAGGGGGCCGCCATTGTAGTGCAATGATCTGCAGGAAATCTGCCGAGTCAGCAAGTCCTGATATGTACTGTATGTGGGAGAAAAGACCTTTGACGGCTCTGATGTCGAATAGTAGCAAGGGCCACGCAGAGACAAACAACCACACACTCACATTCGATGCCCTGGGGCAGTTTTACACTCCTCAGTTCACCAAACATACATGTTTTTTGATGCTGGGGGGGGAGTCGGAATACCCAGAGGGACCCCACGCAAACAAGAGGAGAACAGGCAAACTCCACACAGAAAGCTTTCTTTGGCCCACGCTTGTCTTTTGGGTTTGTGTGAGCTTTCAGGGGTGTTTGTGTTGCAGCCTTCTTTGCATTTCATTGTGTCTGATCATTTGGTCTGCGGCTAATTCTGCACTTTGCTCCCATACGCAACGATGGGAGGTTACATATGTGGAATACAGTTTCATTAGAAGATAATGGATCCCTGTTTACGTAATGTGGTGAAATCCCTTTCAAGTAAAGTTGTCTTTTATTTTATGTGTGACAAGCAAAACAAATTCTACCGTGTAATATTGATACGCATCACTAGACAGACCATATGAGGAGCTTTGTGTTTGACTGAAGGGTATTGTAATGTTTTTCTCTTTTGACCCCCCAATGAAGCTACCTGATAATTATACACACCTAAAATCAAGCTTTAATAGTCTTCCCTTAATGGAATACTCCTATGGTTTTAGACAATCAAGACAAAGACTTTAAAGGTTTTCAGTGAGAAGGTCATTAATAATTGATCAGATTAGAACACTCATTTTATCCTCAAACACTTTGTAAAGAGACAGACAGATGTGGGAAGAGATAATGCACATATTCCACTTTAAAAACTTCCCAACGCTTTAGTTTTTATTATCGCAACCCAAAGTTATTAAATCATTCACATCCTTGTTTTTATCCGGCTATTTTGAACATTTTAAAGAATATTAACCATCCAGGGTACCTCACTGTTTTCCATTAATTTAATTCATCATTCTAAAATTCAAAGCATTTTACAAACATCTACATTAATAAATATCCAGTGTGTCCAATTTTGCAATGTATGCAAACTTTTCAGAGTATGCAAAGAGCCTGTTTTGTCCATAAATGGACCTTTAATGGTGGCCTAACTTGAGGTTTTGGATAAAGAGTTATAGTTGTTTGTGCTTTGTGCATATCACTGATGACTGGGAGATGAGTGACCTGTATGTGAGTGTTTTGTTCCTGTTGGGGGATTGTTCTTCAGGGATGAATCGCTCACAAATATCTCACCATTACACTCTTTAAGGAAGTTATGATGGCTTAGGGCCAGTCCGAAGCTGGAAACACTTGCATGTAAAGTGGTGAACACTGAATTTCCAAAACAAATTGATCTCACTGCGGTTACTCGATTGCTTCTAGTCTCTGAGAGGTAGTTCCACCATTTTATTACGTTCTTGTCAAGCTAAAATTTTGTCAGTTCGGTAAAAGCATTATTGTGTCTCAAACTTGTTTTCATCTAATAGCTTCGAAGGGAAAGAAAACAACTTTTCTGGTATTCATGGTGGAGAGTGAAAATTCTGGCAGATAATTAATCACACTCAGCTCCAATATTTGCTCTCAAAGCACGTCATTGTCAGCATGCAAAACACTTGAAAAATCAAGTTTGCAGTTAAACATGTATTTTTGGCAACATTTAAAAGGTTCCCCTGTTATCTGCATGTGATATTACCATTCATCAGTACCATGACCCCTCTCTCGTTGACCCCCATCATGGCAGGTACAGCCCGGACGCAGACAGCTGGAGTACGGATGTAGCACCCTTGAGCAGCCCCCGCAGCGGCGTGTGTCTGGCAGCGATGGACGGATACCTGTACGCCATCGGAGGGCACGACGGCTTTACTGCCATGAATACTGTGGAGAGGTACTGTAGCACCAGGCCTCAAATCCAAACCCAACTAGATTAACTGTATTCGTTTTCTAGGCTGAGAAACCATGCGTCTCAGTCTGAACTGAGTGAATCAAACTAAGATACAAAGAATTTAAACAAAGGTTCAGTGACTGACCGGCTGTTGATTTCGTGTAGGTACGATCCAAAAATGAATGCTTGGAGCAAGCAGACGCCAATGCTGACCAGAAGAGCCAGAGCAATGGCTGCTGTGCTGGGGGGGCACCTGTATGTGATTGGGGGAAATGATGGTGAAACCACTCTGAGTTCAGGTAGGAGAAAAAGCCTTTCAAATAAATAGCCACAATTCCAATTCATGTTTCATCCATTCATTTTGTGAGTGTGAAACTAAGTAAAAATACCGAAATGACTCTATATGAATGAAATACTCCATATATTTTGTGATTTCCCTATTTTTTCTACCATTGTTTGGGGGGAAAAAAAGAACGCGTAGTTCAACAGTTTTTTGACATATGGCAGGATTGAAATAACATCTCAAATCTAGCCTGACATTTTTACTCTGTGCACACACGCAACGGCGCACGTCCACATCCACACACTCCCACGCAGCTTTTTCGATCGTGCGGGCCACGACCAAGATAAACAAGAGCTCTGTTCTTCCACCAGTAGTCACTAGACTATCTCGGCCCGTGAGAAGTTTACGTTTGAAAAATTCCCACAACCTTTTCAGTTTGAATCCAGTTTAGAGTCAAAGCGCTCCAAAAAAGGGAGTAAATTGTACTATTTGTGGATAATTGCAGTTTTACATGTACAGTACGTATCTGTATATATGTGTGTATATACATATATATATATATATATATATATATATACCAAATGTATATATCATATTTATAAGAGAGAGCAGAGCACATATCTGTGTGTTTTTGTGTATGAAAGTTCCTCTGATTTGTGCTGTTTTCTGAACATTCCCCAGTGGAGCGATACGACCCTATAGATGGTGACTGGTCGATATGCGCCGGCATGCTCAGCCCCCGGGAGGGTGCCGGCTGCGCCGTGTACCTTGGCTGCATTTACGTTGCCGGGGGCAAAGACGAGCTGAACCTGGAGCTCTGCGCCGCCGAGAGATTTGACCCCGAGAATATGAGGTGGATGCCCGTGAAGCGCATGAGGAACAAGAGAGACAACGTGGGTAAAAGAGTAGTCTGACGTGCTAGCGGAAAGCTCCCTCTTCTCATGCAGCTCTTCATGAATAATGCTGATTGTATCTGTGTGTGTGTGCAGCCTTAACCCACAAACAACTTAAAAAATATAGAAACCTCATGACCTTAGGAGGATGTTTTACATTCCTCTTTCATAATCGAGCTACATTAGTGAAAACTTCACACCACAGTTAGCCCAGGATGAAGATTGATTGATGATTAATGTTCCAAAAAGTTTCTGTATCCATTTCTGTTACAACACTAGACGCCGGCTCTCTGAAATGCTTTGGACTGTTCAGTCTCAGCTGTTCAGAGCCAAGCGGCGCTCGTTTATCTTGCTTTTAAAGTAACATAACACAATTTCCTCAGAACGATGCTGGGAGCAGTTCCAGGGTGCACCTGCATCCCGTGGATGCACGGGCCTGTCTTTAGTCAGCCGGGCGCCGCTCACAATGAGCTCTGTGACATTTTGTGTCAATCATTTAATTTTCCTTACTGTCAGATTGCATCCGTTGCAAAACTGAGCCGACGCTTCTTGAAAAATTCAGGAATAGGAGTGAATCTTTTGATTCTGAGAAGTGTTTAGTTCTGAATAAAGATGGATTTCTGAGTACTGATCGTATTTATGATTTCAGAGAATCAGCAGCACAGCTATTGAAATCATGCCTGTCACTCTGCTGGGAGAGAAGTGTGTGATGTATCGGGCTTCCTGCTTTCATGAATATTTGTTACAAGTGTTTGTGGATGTGTTTTTTAATACCATGGTGTTTAGCTTTAGAGTTAACAAGCCATATTTGAGACAAAATAACGATGGACTTCCAATGTATGAGTAGCAATCCTCTGTATACTGACATTATTGAACTGATTTCTCACAGTAAGCTATTATCATGGAGTTTCTTATCTTTTCTTTCCCAAAGAAACTGAACATGTGACCTATAATGTGTTATTAATCTCTTGTGTCGTGGGCCAGGTGTCTCTTGCAGTCTTCAATGGAGCACTGCTGGCTATCGGAGGATTTGATGGTGTTTCCTACCTGAAAACAATAGAAGTCTACAGCCATGAAACCAACACATGGAGGTAGGAGGATAATCAGTTCTATCATCATGCTGTTGTCTTTATACTTTGAAATAAACTTCCATCAAGCAGGTTGCAATGACTACAAGCAAACATAATTTTAAAAATTTGACAGACTGCTGTTTGCAGTCAGACAAATGCATAGAGCCATTTTGTGATTCATGCACTGAGCTCATGTATTGCTCCTATATAGTCCATACATGCCTATGGGCAGCTTGCTATTCACTGTCTGAGCCTTTGTCCCTCTCAATCTGTTTTCAGACACTTTGGGAGCATGAAGAGCAAGCATCCAGGCGGGAGGGTGGCTGTTCTGTGCTGAAACTCCACAATCCTCACATTATTGTTGAAGAGCAGTAGCCTAATGGATGCACTGTCATATAGAGAACCTAATATAAAGCAGCATGATGGCTGCATGGCCCAGGAGAGCACACCAAAGGGAGAAACAACTGGATCAAATTTTGGATTTAGATGTACAGAAATGTATGGCTATTGATCATCAAGCTTGCAAAACGTTTTAATATAGGTTGTTTGGTTCTGCGTGGTTATTTGATTGTCTTACAAATGATAACGCTCAGTGTAAATAAAAAACACAAATAAACATATATTTTTATCATATTGCACAACATTCACATTTTAAAATGCAGTGTTTTAGCTTCTGTCTCTTTAAGACTCCCCTTCTAAAAAATCCCATCATGTTGTGAAATGATGTGGCATTTTAACTAATCAGCTTGAAAGGTGTCCGTTCATTGTTTGTGTGAGGTGTGCCTAACTAACCACAGGGGAGGACGTCACGTCAGGGTCAGCTGACTTTTATCTGGACACTGAGCTCTCTACCTGCAGACATGCACAAAAAACTATGCAAGGATAACAGGAAAAAGACAAAATCCCAAAACATCACACTGTGACCTGTTTTAAAATGAAAATTAATCAAGGCTCTTATGAACCACTGCCTGCGTCATTTCGGATAACTTTAAACTGTGAATGCCAATCATGTTGTACCATTTTATATTTGTATTGTCTCTTGGGAGTATTCACCCTGCTATTTTCCTGTAAAACCCAGGGGTGTCACTGTAAAGGAATGATCCAATTGCCTAACTGTAAATGGGTAAACAAAAACATGAAGTAAAGTAACAAAAATCTGTCGAATCCAGTTGTGGAACAGAATTCTGTGGGAATCCAGATCCTGGATCAAATAAGCCAGCGATTGAGATCTGACTGCTGGCATGGGAAACTGTAAGTGGCTGTGTGGGCTTGAACATGATGACGCTCAGAGCTCTTTTCCCTGGAGGATAATGGGCTGAAATGTGGAGAGGCTGAACACAAGGAAGGCGCACAGAGCAACACGGCTTTTTCTGGAGGCAGCGGTGTCTCCCACTCATCCGTCTGTGCTTACAGAATGAATATTTTTTTCAATTTAAGGGGGACAGTTGTGAGACAAAAAGCAGAGGACAGAGCTGTTCCAGGTATGTTTTGAGAGAAAAAGGATCTGAATATGTTTACGTGGATATTGAGAGGCGAAGTTGCCGACACTTTGTGTGCATGCTGTGTGCTCCATCGTGGTTGTAGGATGGGAGGAAAAAAAATAAAGCTATTGAATATCTTGTCAGATTAGGGGTGTTGTTGTGTTTTTCAAATTCTGTTAAATGTCTATCAACCCTCGGATTTATTCTAGAATGCTTTGGTGACTGTAAAGCTTTTTTCTACACCCTTTTATGTATTTATTCACAAGCTTTAGCGAAGTTGCACTTCTCAACACTCACCACCAGGTGGCTCTGTATGAGAGTTTGTATGTAAACAGTGGGTAAACCCCGGCTTCACAGACCACTGTTACTTAGGAGAAAAGAGGAAGCAAACCCATTTATTTCAACTCAAATGCCCTGATCTACAGACAGTCGGACAGTACTGAGCACTTTATAGTCATACTCACTCATTTCACTGAGAGCCCTTTTTTTTCGAAAGTTCCCCGTCATCATTAAACGCATCAGCAAGCAGCGCATGATTTCAAGGTTGTCCGGTAGATGGCGAGACACCAGTGGGAGACTCCAGGTTGCTGTGTCTTTAGGAGGAATGGATGCTGATGCTGACATGGAAGCATGAAACCGGGAGGACAGCACGCATACATGATGTCCTTAATTTAGATGCGTACGCTAGCATCACAATGCAGGAGACGGCGACGGGGAGGAAAAAAAATCCACGGGAAGCTGCGCTTGCAGTGGTTTTTTTAGAACGAGGGTTGTTATGTAAGAGCAGCTGGAAACGGTTACACGGTATTGTGTGCTAATTAAAAAGAAGAAGGCAAGTGTAAAAACCCGGGTTTTCGGTCGACAGCAGCGGACGTAGGAGCGACGTTGACGCGTGTCCCGGTTCGTTAAGAGTAGCAAACAAAGTTGTTGCTAAGCGACAGGAAGTTCTCGACCTCGGGGGGGGTTCTGAGGTCCGCGCATTGATATTTAAATGACCCGTCAGGTGTGCGGTAAATGTCAACGGTGCGGGAGCGCGCGGGGGGGCCAATCACCGCGAAGCGCCGGAACTAATTTATTCAAACAAACTAAACAGATTCAAATTTATTGAAAGTATGTCGGAAACTATGCGGAGAAGAACGAATTGAGGTTATGTGGCGTGACTGTCCCTCGACACAGGGAATTCAACTGATTTATTTTAATGAACCGAGCACTTAAGGTAACTCCACTGAACACTGAAAACTAATCACTGGACACGACTTCATCCCCTCCTGTAGCTGCCACCTTCCAATAATGTCCGCACTTCCGAAGAGTGGAGTCGACGGAAGACATCCTATGTCGGTTAGGCAGCGGCGCACTTACAGCGTAGGGGTCTTATCTAAACCAAATGTCTTTCTTCGATGATGCAACTCGGCCTTAAATGGCAACGAAGCCAGGTAAAGAAAGTTTGAAACCCCCAGCATGTAACCTGCCTGACTCCCCCCCACTGTTGGTGCTGTCTCACACGGGTTGCACGAGCTGTTTGTGAAAATCACGTAGTGTGTTGGTGCCATATGAAATGGCATGAAACGTTTTTAAGAGTAGGTTTTAGCTCCCATGCACAAATTGTATGTATATATATACACACACACACACACACACATATATATATATATACACACACATATATATATAATCAAATCTATTGAACTTGCATCATATATAGATGATGCACGTATCGTGGTGTTTTATTTTATTTTCCAAAAGAGCAGAAAATGCAAAATCCTAAACTGTGTTATTGTACTGTTGTATTTAGAGAGAGCACTTTTAAGGCCAACCCCACAGATCTTTGTATCCATCTCTGTGGCATCCCCTCCATTAGATGCTTCCTCTCTTAAAGGGAGCAACTCTCTTTACCATCACTGAGCATTTCTTAGGTTAAAAGCATTTTTCTTTGCTTGTGTAAGGAATGCGGATTTGCCGACCCCTTTTTCACCCCGTCGGCTCCGATTTTCCTAAAGTTGAGGACACGTTTTGGGCATTTTGCTTGCTTCTCCTCTGCTGTTATCTTTTCTATTTCCTCTTCTGTCTGCCTTTGTCAGGGTCTGTGCTCTCACTTAAAAGGGAGACCGTTTCTCTTGGCGCTGTTAGCCCACTCAAGACTGCCCACATGGTACTATGAAGGCCACACAGAAACAGATTGCATAGCGTTGTATCATCTGCTTCTTGTTTACTTTTTCGCGAACAAGGCAGAAATTTATACAATCTCAACAGGATAGATGGGCATGAAAATTAATCTCATTGTGGACTCGCTCCAACAGAAACATTCATATGAATCACTTTCAGGATATTTAGCTTGACTGAGCATGCTGTTAGACACTGAATTTGCAGTTAAGCGTTTGTCCTATTTCCGAAATTATTCCCTGTTTTACTTCAACGGTAAAATGAGCTTAGCGTGGCTTTGATGACATGCTTCTTCCCCAAAATGTTGGACAAATTAAAGCGTGCTCAAGGGTGCCCTCAATAAGCATATTCAGTATGTGAATAACAGCCGGCTAATATACACCATAAAGTGTGCAATTTCATTAAAGTTAATCAGTGTAATCCTCCTCTTTTTAAAGAGCAGCAGCCAGAGACAACTTGGACCTAAGCTGCAAAACAGGCAGTAAATGTAATCATGTTCCATTCCCCTCAAGTCTTAGAAGAGGTGAATATTTTAACAGGTCTTTAAAATCTCTTCCTCTCTCTCCTCTTCTTCACCCTCCCCATCTTGCGTTTGCCACTGAAATCCCCCTCAAGAGGCAGTCATGAGTCCTCCACGCCGATCATCGAGTTGCCATGGTGACAGGTAATTTCCTCAAGCATTTCCCTGCATGTCACACTTTTTTTCTTTCTTTTTTTTTTACAACGTGGGATGACACATTCCTGAACAACAACACAAGTCGGTGTGCAAATCCGAGGAATCAGGTCATGTTTTGCTGCTGGATTTGCCCTTTGTTTTTAATCTAATAATAGCCTTTAGTATTAACCTTTTCCTAAAAGGGCCCTTTATGATGGTGGGAGAATTCAAATTTCTGTATAAATGATGCATGTTCAGTTGTTGGTGGGAAATGAACAAAATCAGTAACATTAAACTCGGGTTGGATAGTTGTTGCTTTAAAGCTCTGGTTTATATACACATTATCGGTATTCTCAGTAAATCTTAAAAACTTTTAGATAAACTTTGAATCCCTGGGTTCAGTGCTCCACACCTATAAAAAACCCACTCATCCGGGCTAATGCTGTGCCAGCTGTCGGCTCAAAAAGTAGTTTTTTTTACTTCAAAAGTGGACTCTGACGAGCAGGCCGCTGCTCTACCCCTGTGTTTCAGGGCCCCGACGGAGAACCTGCAGAAAAACAGCATCAGCAGCAACTCGGGCGTTATTTTGGACATCTCCACTCTCAAGATGGCAGACGTGGATACAGAGGTGCCTCCTCTTCCACCCCGTTACCGCTTCAGGGATTTGCTGCTGGGAGACCAGACGTTTCAGAACGATGACAGGTAGCAGGAAAGAAACGCTGCTGTGCTGTGTGCTGTGGCATGTTCCACAACCTGTAACAGTGTGTGTCTGTGTGTGCGTTTCCTGTCTGAGTGCGTGCGTGCGCATACCTAAACCTACTTCCATTTTCTCCCGGGAATAATGTTTGTGAGGGCAGGAATATTAAAGCATCTATGTTCTCTGTTAGGGTCATGCCACCATTTCCACATTGACTACTCTTAATGACCTCCCTTAAATGTGACAGCACATTAATTGCAGCTTTTGATTTTACGCGTGCCTGGATGGATCAGCGGAAAAAACACAAGAAACGAGAGGTATAATAGGCTTGCCGTGGTAATAGGGGTCTCGTTATTAGTGCAGACCTTTTTTGGCTGCATTGCCATTTAAAACAATTTGTACAGCAACGGAGCAAATTGGCTGAAAACAGGGGAAAAGTTGTCCGAGCCTGCATTTTCTCTCGTTTCATCTTGCTTCGGATGGAACGTCCTATTTTTGTCCCATTAAGTTCTGCACAAGCACTGGTGGCCTTGGGACAGTCCTAAGAGTTCAATTATCGGTGTGGTTTTGGAGGCAGACGTCCAGATGAGCTCATGAGGGGAAGAAGTAGCCTCAGCGCAGCTGAGCGCTGTGGAGCTCCCCGTGGTGCTGAATGAGGCTCACAGAGAGAAGGGGAGAGAATCAGAAGAGCAGAATTATAATCGGAAGAGTTTTGCAGCTGCGTAGGAGAAGAAATGGATGGAGATTTGTTTTGTTTTTTTAAAGGTAGTGGTTGCACCTCAGCTGAAAGGTGGTTTAAGATTTAAGAGGTTTTTTTCTCTGCTTTTCCGTTGTTATAGACCAGTTTTCCTCAGACACTACAGTCACACACCTACCTTTTTTTATGCTTTGAGCAAGAATGTATTAACTGGGGATTGGCGGCTTGTGCGTGTTTGTGTGTGCGTGTGTCTGCGTGTAACATGGTGCACACCAGTTTTTGGGCTGAGCCTTCCTTATTCAGTGGTGGGATATCGTGCACATCTTTGTCCTTTCTCTGCCAATACATCCCAGCTGATATGTGAAACGAGCCCCTTGATTCATGGACCTCGCATGCCCACTGGCATAAAAGGCTAGCGCCCGGGTTTACCGAGGGGCTGCTCGTTTGTGGGGCTGTGTGTGCCTGCAGCCCCTCTGCTCATTCTGCAGCGTTATCTGCGGTCATGTGGGACAAACCATTCTGTGTAAGTTAACACTGCACGGTGGGGATTTTGGTTGTCAGCAGCAGCTCTCTGGCAGTACGACCATTTTTTCGCAGCATCCTGGATGAAAAAAGACGGTTGTCATCGTGGCTTCCCTTTGAACTAAAACTTTTCTAACAAAGCAAAAACAAAAAATTGACATTCTGTTTCACCGCTAAAACTTTGTCTGGTGCTCTCTCTCTTTGTGTTCTTTTCTTTGTCTCTGCGGGTTCCTGTGGTACATCTGAGCCCGTCTCATGGTCTTCTGTCAGCAGCAGAGTATTTGACCACCGCCCCTCCCCCACACGCCGTCTTCCTGCTCTCCCAGCAGATGCAGGGATCTGGTGTGGACTGCAAGCTGGGGTTCTACTCCTTCCATTTCTGAATGCCAATTAGTTCTCTTTATAATGT